ATCCGCCGAAACGTCAGCTTAATCGTGAACAAAGAATAATAACACCTCGCGTTTGCTCAACAAAAATACGAAGAAAAAAATTAAAAATTACTATTAAAATCGGTGGGGCCTTAATGCAACCGATCAAGCGAGTTCTGCCTGACGAATAAGCAAAAGCTCTAATATGGTTAGAATCTGTGGCAGATGATTATGGTGACCATACCGCATAATGACTTTCCAGATCAACAAGTGGACAAAATTTCGATTAATAAGTGCTAACAAAACAAAACGGTGCTAATAAGCAGGGCAGAGTTTTTTGCAGCACAAACACACTCTGTCCCAAAACCAGTCACGTACATATACAGGCAAAGTAAAAGTAAAGACAAGAAAGTACAGATTACTTTGGCATATGGTGCTAGATAGTCGAGAGCTGTGACATGAAGGTGAAACTTGTGCGACTTCGTGAATTTCCCGAGACATGTTCCAAAAGAAAGAAGAGGTTCGCGTGCAATGCATCCTGCCTGACGCATTAAACTCTCTGAACAGTAGTAGACACGTTCCTGAAGAAGTAATCTTTGACCACAATGTCTCAACTTTTACTTTCTGTCTATTCTTTTTCCACGGTAAAGTGTGATGTGAACTACAACCATAAGAATACTGAGATATGCAAAACTCGTGACATCAAATGAGTTTAGACCCTCCCTATTACCTTTAACAGGGATCCACATAACTATCTATCCATGACACTAAATAAGGTCCTTGCTTTGCCTTTCTCTTGGCCAGTTTTTCACTTCTTACTCATAGTCGCTGATAGATAATTGCTGACAGCAACGATAAAGTGAAAAACGGGATAACAGAAAGTCAAAGCAAGGGCCTATGTTGGTATAGTCGATATCATGTTAGCCTCCGGTAAGGGTAATCGCGGGTCTGAAGCCCACCTGAGGTTCGTTCCACTCATACCAAGGCATCCTCAAAGTTGTATTTCAAATAATCCCCGATCATTTTAAACGACCTCTACGAGTAAGGAATTAAGTTGCCATAGTCAAACGAGACATAACTTGTGATTTCGGAAACAGTAGTCACCATCAGCACGATCAATCAGAAGCGCCACGTTGTCCCCTATGAATGTTGCAAGCTTTGAAAATACCTTCTCAGTTTCCTCGTCTGTTAACGGGCGCATTTCTGTAATATGTATTCACTTCAAGAGCCCAATTGTTAAGGAATGAAAAACTGAAATTTACGAAATCCTTTCAAGAAATCTGCGCGGGTATTGAAGTAATGGGGAATATGAACACTTGTCACATGAATCACAGAATATGTCCTCTACCCCTAGCACATCTCCTAATGGTTGATACAAAACACATCTCAGAGTGTCCTACCTTCTAAGTCCATTTGTAAGTTGCTTTTTATTTTCTTTTACGTAGTGATATGTAACCTCCCAATGGTTTACCCCCGCATTGTGGCTGGGAGGCGTTCCTGGGTGTCGCACTGCGATGCACAGTGGAGGATTCATCCCTCCGGCAGGGTCTCCCAAGCTGAGTCCGGTGTTTCCATCACGAAGCCCAGCTTAGAGTAAACCAATACCAAGAAGCACCACCGTCCTGGTATCAAATCAGTCCCATGGTGGGAAATATCACTTTGAGGCAAACTTTGGTCTGACTGACCTCAGGACTACAGGGAACCACAATGGGTAAATCAGCAAAACTCCGATAAAATGGAGATTATGCTGGGGCTCGCACAACCAGTGAGGATGGGTCATTCAAGTATCCAAGTAAATAAACAAGCACGCTTAATAACAATTAAGTGGTATTACGATTTGACATAAGTAAATATTGATAAATAAAACAAAATATAGTTATAGAAAAAGACCAAATTCAATGGTGCCCAATAAAAAATACATCGAATTGTTTATTCATTGAACCAACCATGTTGTTCCCATCATAACGACAATAAAGAGTAAATTTCAACAATATTCACAGGTTTAGTTCACTGACTTGAGCAATCATTACATTATCAGCAATAGCTGTCTTTGCAGTGGCTGCATTCACCTGAAAAGAAACACTGAACTTTTTAGATGGAAAAGAAACTTTTGATAATAACTAAGAATAATAAACACGATAGGAAGATGCTTATCACAGTGGTTATTACATACAATTGGATACGAAAAATACAAGCAAACCTGTAGTACTAGTTGCCCACCGGAACCCTCCTTAATGAAGGACTGACTTTCAAGTACTTGCAAAGCTGCTGTGAAATCTTCCCCTTCCAGCCGCGGTACCTTCACGACATCACATGCACGAGAATACGCATTGGTTAAGGAAACCACATTAAGCACACTCTTAAAAAGTTGTAGTGTGTCTTAAATTGATAAAACAAATATTAAAAAGAATGCTGGTAAAACAATCCTCTGATCTAACTTAATTTGAAAAAAACCTTATTGGACGACATAGCTACTGCAACAGCAAGCAGAAGCCGAGGTTGAAGGGGAAGACGTGCTCTAGCGAGTGGTGATGAGTAAACATTATTTAGCATCCCCAACACTTGTCGACAACCACGCGGTGTCCCTGGTTCGCCGGAACTAAAATCAAGCATCAAGTATAGCATGACATTATGACATACTTAAGCGAAAAATCAATATATAACATATTTTAGAACAGAACTGCACAATTTATTCCTCACTGTGTTTGTTTCATAACGTGGAACGCTGTCCGTAAATCACCGCTCATGGCAGCTACCTTTCTGGAACACAGTTCCAACGCAGCCGGATCCATAGTATAGTCCTCAAAACACTATGATGGACATCTTTTCAATCAGATTGGAGAATTAAATGTAGCAAGCCAAACCGATTCATCAGATAACTTGTTTTTTAAAATTTGTGCTATTTCGTCTTTTGAATACGGCGCAAAAACAAGCGTTTCAGGAGGTTGGCTCATTTTTAGCTTCGGTAACAATCGTTCCGTGAGATCAATAGAGTTAGCAATTCCTGAAACAGAAGAAATATACTATCACCTAAAAAGGACTCAATTCTTACAAAAGCCTATTAGCACTTCCCCTGGTCTTAAACTACTTCTGCCACTATTTGTGTTCTCTACTTTACTAATACGATCAATTACGATTGCTCACCAGAGCACAATGGGCACTGGACGGTTCACTGTGGAGCTAGCACTGTGCAGAACAACAACTAACCCATGCTAAGATATTGCTACTTTACTTAAATATACAATAAGTATTTAAAGTTAAAAGCTCCCGGCATTGACCAATACCAAAAGGACACGCTATGCATCCGACTTTATTAAGCATCGTTGAAGACGACTGAATGCATATCTGGCCTTTACAATGACTCGCTGTGGCTTACCAACGTATCCAACCAGTGCTGCTATCCTCCGAGACAAGTCGTACCGGCACCAATTTACCGACCCCGGAGGGATGGAAGGCTTGGTGGGCCTGTGACCTGGGGGCTATCCCGTGTATATTGCAGGGCGCCTCGGACCACTGCGCTACAGACTAAGTATTTATGATTCGAAATTGAGATGCTGTAATACACTTTGTAAACCCGGAAAACGTGCAAGGTGGGTAAACAGATAAATCGACACCTCACATCTTACCAATAACTATCAGTTTAGCTGTTACTGTCTGTGGCCATTGAAATGTGGTGTATAAAAACGAATTCGTTTTTGAGGCAAGATGGTCTATTTCGTCGAGAATAAGCACAAAGTGTTTTTTCAATCCCTTCAAAGTGGTGGATAAAGTCGGCAGCGATGGTCGTGCGGACGACTGAAATCATGTAAATAGGGAAAAAAATGGAGAAACGATGTTTTACAAGTAGATCATCCAAGGAACCTCATAAACGTTAACAACATACCCCTACAGCATCAAGGATAAACCTTACAATCTCGAGCTGTGTGTGAACGGAAGCGCAGTTCAAAATGGTTGAGACTACACGGTGTTCAAAATACTGACACACGAGTTTCATTGTGGCACTTTTACCTAAGAAAGACATGAACATAAAACATATGAATACTGTTTACAAGCACAACGATGTTGGGATATTCGCTGAGAGGAACGCGAAGCAGGGTCCTCAGTGGTGCAGTGTGTACTACGCAAGCTCCCGGAAAGGGTAATCCTGCTTCGATCTGGCCCGCAGTTCAAGTCTTGCAAATATCTCAGCATCGTTGTGAGCGTTTACAAGATCAAAACACCAGCACTGAAGTAGAACGACAAATATGAAGGTAAAACAGAAGGCCAAATAAAATCATACAACCGTCTTTTTTTACATAAATTACAAAACCTCGAACGCCCACCAATCCTACCCTCAAGTTTTGCACATTCAATTTACTTCTACTGTCTTTATTAAATACTTCGCTATCACGTAAACCATTAATCAGTCACTGCTGAAAACCTAACCTGTTCCAGGCGAGCCACTAATGTAAACTGAGAGAGGACAGCTATTAGTAACAGCCTTCTCAATCCAGCTACAAATCACGGAAAATTCTCGTTCACGGCCGTATAAGGGTTTTACGCCTTTCCCTTAAAAATACTCGTAAAGAGTGACGCCATTTAAGTGATGAATGAATAATTATGCATGCCGAAGGTCTAAAAGGACATTTTACCTCGTGCACTTATTTTATGAGGCAAAACTCTCGGCGAAGTTCGAGCATTGGATGTGCTTGCAACAGAAGACACAACCTTAGAAGCTTCTGGCTAGAATGAGCAGTTAACTATAAGAAGTGGGACAAATGTATAATGAGTACCAGTAGGACAATACAGCTCTAGGCTGTAGAATTTTATAAATAGCGCTAAGCTAAATTTGTTGTATGAGCAGCTGTGAATGGCTGTGCGTCCAAAACAACTAGTACATATAAAACAACAAAAAACGACATACTATTTTTGAAGAATGGACCTTAGACTTCTCTTGAGAACTCGACTTGCTCGACCTTGTTAGCACCATCTTCAAGAACTTCTGTAAATGAGAGTGAACGCGAATTCAACCATTTCCAGAACTAATTGAAAATGACTTCTACGACCATGAAGGTCACCTGTGGTTTGGGAACACCATCTACTGTACTTTACATATACGAAAGTAAAACACATGACTCCATAAGCGGTGGGAAATAACATGCAATCAACTTGGACCGGCCCAATGACGCCACGCCCTCGTGCGGCCCTTGCGGGTTGCACCGTGCCCGCCGGTCGAAGGGGTGCTGCGATCGGGAAGCGAGTGCTCCGGCCTCCGTCGGGGCGCTCGATTTTGCGAAACAGGGCGCGCTCGCTGCAGTCAATGGGAACGTTGCCGATAAAATGCGAACTGCAGTCCAGCGTGTCCATTCTTTCAAAAGAAGAAGAAATAGGTAGGCTTGGAGTTCGCTCCGATGGTTGTCTTTTTTCGTTCCTCCTCGTTTGCTGATCAAACATCTGACGACTTGTTCAGCATAGAAAGTGGCGAACGTGGACCTCGGATCCCGTGCAAGGAGCCGTCAGCATGGCAAGGTGAACAGTAATGAGCAAAGGAGACGCCTTACTTTATTAAATAATTCGGTGCATGTCTCCCACTGCACCAACCAAGCCCCTCGTTCCGCCTTTCTCTCAGCCTGTTTTTGACCGTATTGTGAGAAGCGAGGACGAGTGAATTGAACTCCACAATTCGACGTCGCTTTGTACAAAGTTAGACATAGACAAAATAAAAAAAACTAAGCGAAGGCAATTTCTCAACAGAAGAAAGTTCAGCCGATATTTTTGGGTTCAGCGGATGAAAGTATCTAAACATTTTCAGTTTTCGCCGCACCGCTACATCAAGGAAGAAAATCAACAGACCGCAACAAAACTGTAACGTTTGTGGACGGAACTGGTTAACGATGTAGACGACATTGGCTCATCACACATTACACAACAAGTTCCGTATAGGTTAGAAGTGTTGGGATACGAAACTCCTAAATGAGGGCGCTCATTAGACCTCCTGCACTCGGAAAATTTTCTTAGGATTTTCCTTGGTGGAGTGAATAAGTTTATGACTTGATGGTAAAGATTTTTAGGCTTTTTTATTCCAATCAATAACGGTTGTTCGGATGTGTTTGTTTGAAGTCATCGGTTGGAGATTTCCGCTTGCGTCTCATTGAACTACCATAATTTTGTAAGCAGAAACAAAATAATCTACACAGCAAACTAGCTTCTCGTTTATCGTTACAACTGAGCTAATGTTGTTATCATAACAATGACCGATTCATCGTGAAACCTCCTTTCCATAAAGCTTTGCGATAGAAAAATTACGAACCATGATGATGATTCCTAACCCGTGACAATAAAAGGGCGCGCGTGACGCAGTGGTGGGTGGCGCCGTGCAGCACACGTGGAATCGATCCGCGCGCCTATGGCCCGCCAAGCTTTCCATACCTCCGGATTCGGCAAATTGGTATCAGACCTGTCTGGGAGGATAGCAGCACTGGCTCGATACATCGCTAGAGCACCGCGAGTCATTGTAAAGGCCAGGCATGCATTCAATCACCTCCAAACGATGCTTATTGAAATCGAGCACATGCCGCATCCTTCAGGCATTGATCAACCCCGAGAGCTTTATCCTTTTATCCTTTCATCGATAGGGCGCGTGTAGCGCAGTGGTCCGAGATGAACTGCAAGACACATGGGATCAATCCCCACACCCCAGGCTCACTAAGCCCCTCATCCCTTCGGTGTCGGCAAATTGGTACCAGACCTGTCTAGGAGGAGAGCAGCACTGGCTCGATACATCGGTGGACCACCGTGAGTCATTGTAAAGGCCACATATGCATTTATTCACCTCCAACGGTGCTCAATGAGGTCGAATGCATAGCGCACCCTCAGGGGTTGATCAACGCCGAGAGATTTACCTTTTATTTTATCTTTTTATCAATGCATTCTTCCGCTTCATAGTAGTGCAGAAACTTCTGCACTGTCCTTTGAGTGGTGATGTCCATGTTCACTCTGAACTAGCACCGATTTCATTGTGTACTTGTTACCTGAAATCCACGATGAACATATGTTTCGTTGTTTTCGACGTGATTTCCTTCACCTATATACCGTACTGAACTTTGGTTGCGACTGTGAAGTACATACCGCAAGAAAAATCTTGTATAGTATGATTTCTGTGTCCAGAATTGATATTCATTCGAATCCTCAGAATAACGGTAGCCGATGGGCATGTATCCTAACACTTCACTGCGCACTAAAAATTCGACTGTCGAAGTAAGCATCCACCTGAAATCAGCTTTTCCATGAAATTTGCCATTGATGTTCACCGAAATAACAGCAGTCGATGGACAAGGACTCAACCACTTCATTGAAAATTTGATTGTCCTACTAAGAGAGCAGTTGAAATGGCCTGAATTTCTCAATTTTTCGACACAATGTGCCGTAATTACTCTACAAGATAGGTTATTTCACTACATTCTAGGTCTTTTATGTCCAGAATTAATAGTCACCCAAGTAACGGCACTGTATTGTTAATGCTAAGCGGTTGAAGTAATTATTTCAGCCGATCCCGAATGTTCTGGAGAACCCACACGCGCAGTGCTGTTGATCCACCATGGTATGAGGGGAAAAGTTTGGTTGTGGAAGATATAAACAGTTCTGTCATGATAACATCTATCGCATTGCTTTTCATACTTTCTATTCAACAAACCACTATTGGATCTGTGGAAATGGAGTATTTCCATAGTTAGCAATGTATTTCACCTCTACCATCGTCGTGTTTGGTCCTGATGTCTCGATGTGCTCCTTTCGAAAACCTAAAATACAGGGCAGAATGAGGGAGTTCGGAACGATGAGGCATTGGAATAATGCAGTGCAATCTCTACAACAAATCTGTTGAGAGGTTAACAGGTTTAAAACACGCTGTCAGAAATCTTGTCTGTGGCTAACATTTTCGCGCCATCCACTTCTTCAAAGGCCCGATAACGTTTCTTCGCATCCACATGCCACTAAAGCCTTCGGATTTTCAGACATTACTACCACTGCTCTACAATTCCCAGTAAACCTTACCAATAGAATATTTCCAGCAGAATACTGGTTTATGTTGTCAAATCAGTCGTTGTAAAATTCTAGGCTCATCTTGCAGTAACTGCCACGACCGAGTTTCTATTAACCTCGGCATTGATCAAGTGATTTTGTTCGTATTTTTGTTGAGCAAACGCGAGGTGTTATTATTCTTTGTTCACGATTAAGCTGACGTTTCGGCGGATTTCGCCTTTATCAGAGCCTGGAAAGGTCAAGTTGATAGCAATCTACTCGGCCAGACGCCTCCATAACCAAACAAAGAAACCCCAAACCAAGATTTCAATCACTTTGAACACAGCTTTGCACACTCACCGCCTTCTATGAGGTTTCCACTAAGTATGTCACGTAGAGACCAACCGCACAGAAATCACGTGGAAGTATAATGTGCCCCTCATATCAGAAAAGCAGTTTTATATACTGCCCTATATCACTCGTGATAATGAGGCATTCTTCCCTGCGGTTCATTTTCGGATTTCTGGAATTAATCCAGAGTGCCTCGAGAGTTTTTCGCGCCTGTGTTCTTGATTCGCGTGCGAGGATCGTGACACATACTTCGAAGTCGTCCCCGTTATGTCTCTGGGTCCTATGTGTGCCTAGCGGGGTATTTGGTCTATTTTTACCGGCTAGGTGTTCTTTCATGCGGACACAGAGGGGTCTACCCGTTTCGCCAATGTATTCGCCACCACACGTCTTACAGGAGATCAGATAAACTATACCCGAGCTCATGCAACCACCGTCTCTACCACTGGGGCAAATTATGCAATTTTGAGTTGCACATAGACGGTCATATAGGCGGTTGCGAACTAGCTGGCACTTAAGATTACTCGGTGGTATTTCAACTACGCTCACCGAATTCTCTAAGCCCGCCCTTCTTAAGCAGCGTTTTATAGCTGTACTTATATCATTTGAGATGAAGGGTAGGATAAACGGGACCCTTCTATCGCTAGA